AGAGGTTTTCTGGAGAGTCCTTATTGTGTTGATTTCCAAACTAGAAACACTGTGGCCACAACGGTTTTAGGAGTCATAGTGTGTCACAGAGTAGGCTTGGCTTTCACTGAAGAGACTATGCAGAGTAGAACCATTAATAGTGATGGAGCCAAGAGAATCCATATGAAAATGATTCTGACGGGAGGATGCATGCTGGTCCGAGGCACTTACACAGACTGGTGTAGAGAGACCAGGACCCCTCTCAAGACAGGTCACTGGAGTGAATTCCTAGAGAGATGACGGAGATTTATAGATTCATAAGTGTTAGGGCTGGAAAGGACCTCACTAGATCATTGGTCCAGCCCCCTGCTCGAAGAGGAGGAAGGCAGCTTGGGTCAGATGATCCCAGCAAGGTGCGCGTCCAGGTGTTTTTTCAACGTAACCAGGATCACTTAGGGGGGGTCTATTTCAGATTCTGGAGATTCAGACAGTAAAGAAGTTTTTCCTTATTTCCAGTCTAAAACAGTCTTCCAGCAGGTTGTGACCGTTAGACCCTGTCTTCCCTTGGGGTGCCCTGGCAAACAGACGTTCTCCCAGTTCCTGATGCACACCCCTTATGTACTTACAGGCTGCCACCAAGTCACACCGAGCCTTCTCTCCTCCAGGCTGAAGAGCCCCGTGCCTGTCAGCCTCCCCTCATAAGGCCTGCTCTCTTGACCTAATAATGCGTGTGGCTCTCTGGACTCTCTCAAGTTTCTCCAAGTGTGGAGCCCAGAATTGGATTCAGTACTCCAGCTGCGGCCTCACCAGGGCTGAGTGAAACAGGAGGATGACTTCTTGGGTTTTGCTTGACATGCATCGATAGATGCAAACCAGAGTTTTATTCACTTTTCCAGCCGTAGCGTCACCAGGGCTGTCCCTAGGGAGAGGTGAGTTACAGGGACTGCCCCAGGCTCCATGCTTTGGGGGGGCCCCACGGAGTTGGCCTTAGCAGCCACAGTGACTCCGTGCTGTCACTGGCTTCATGTCCAGCTGCTTGACACCCGCCCCCCACCCCGGCCTCCGCCAAATGCACCGCCAGCTTCATTTTGGCCAGGGCCAGAGACCCACACAGGCTGATTTGCCCCAGGCCCCATACCCTGCTCAGGTCATCTCTTGGCATTGCATTGGTGGCTCATGTTCATCTTGTCCCCCAATCATGACCCCCAAGTCTCTTTTGGTCGTGATGCTAGTGAGTGTATACTGCCGAGCCTGTAAGTGTAATGCGGGTTCTTTCTCCCAAGGTGGAGCACATTGCATTTCTCTGTGTTGAATATCATCAGGATTTGATCCGCCCACCTTGTGATATGAGATTAGTCCCAACCTGGAGTGGCAGCTGCCAGGGTCAGGGTAGCATTGAACTGCTGAGTGTAGAGGGGACCACGGTCCTGAGGAACAGGGAGCCTTGTGTTGGGGAAGAACTAAGCAGCTCAGGTCCACGGTGAGCAGGAGAATAATCAGGGAGTCCCACTCTCCCACTGACTTGGGTTATTTTTTCTTTTCTGTATCCTTAGCTCTTTCCTAACAGGAGCTGCATGGCATGTGCTGCACTGGACTGGGAACTGGGGGCGAGATGGTCATAGAATCATAGAAGTCGGGTCGGAAGGGACCTTGTAGATCTTCAAGTCCAACCCCCTGCCTGGACAGGAGGAAAACTGGGCTCAAATGACCCCAGTCAGGTAGGCATCAAGCCTCTTCTTAAAGACCCCCAGGGCAGGAGCCAGCACCACCTCCCTTAGAAGTTGGTTCCAGATCCTAGCCACCCGAACTGTGAAGTAGTTCTTACGGATGTCTAATCTAAACCTACTCTCCAACAACTTGTGGCCGTTATTCCTTGTTATCCCGGGGGGCGCTAGGGGAAACAAGGTCTCCCCCAAACCCTTCTGGTCCCCCCGGTGAGTTTATAGATGGTCACAAGGTCCCTCCTCAGCCTTCTCTTGTGAAGGCTGAACAGGTTCAGGTCCCATAGCCTCTCACTGTAGGGTCTGCCCTGCTGTCCCCGGATCACGCGGGTGGCCCTCCTCTGGACCCTCTCAATGTTGTCCACATCCCTCT